CTGGGTCTCGAGTTGAAAGTGGGTGACAAAAAGTGCGAACACACAGACACACATACACACACACACGCACACACACACACACACACACGCACACACAGACAGCCTCTTTCCAATATGCGTTTTTGCAATTTACATAAATGCAAAAACGGATAATAAAGCAGAAAAAAGATCAAGAATAAGATGGTGCAGATGATGAAGAGGATAATAATAATCAGTCATTAACGGTGATCGTTCAAAGGGTAGAAGAGACTAACTAGCCTAATAATGGAAGGGCACCGGGATTAGTTAGAGGACAAAGCGAAAGAAATTGCCCTGATAGCACTTGTGACAGCCTAAATAAAAATACTTCTGTAGCTATATGCCAATGAGAGCACTGTGATTCTAACAACACCAGCATTTCACATCAATGGGAAGTCAGCGAATGAAGGCCTCAGCGCGACAGAATGAACCAGGGTTTCCTGGGCATTTCAAAGAGTACTACCTTTTTCACGAATCGCGAAAACACGTCCAATACTTTCAGCTTTAGTGATAAGTATTCCTGTGGGCAGAGCTCGTCCGTCGTCTGAGAGGCCGGCACTGAAGCACTGGATTCGTTCGTTTTCTCGATCCGCCACACAAATCAAATTCATATCCTCAATTAAAGCCAATGAATGCGGAATCCAAAATTCGCCATCCTCTATTGCTTCTTCGCCTGCAAATAACGTGGGCTTTCTTGCTTAATTCCTGGTAGCGGTAATCCTCGAGACATATTCTCTTTCTATTCCTCGACAACAATTTTGCCCTTAATTTTACGAAAATCATTTTAATCGTTTTGGAAGAAAACGCTCTATTGTGAAAAAATAAAGAAACTTGGAAGTAGTGCATTTTTTTTCCATGAAGCTTGCCTTGATCGGATTCAAAAATTTGACCGACTGCAAATCAGGCGCTGCACTCTACACATTCCAGGGTGTAACAGATCTAAAAATTCTGAGTTACCCTTCTAGAGCATCCTCCAGAATTTGACTTGGACAGATTCGTCCCGGAAGCCAGCAGTTTTTCAAATTTCTGATTTACCTTTCTAGGACATTCTTCAGAATTTGGACAAATCCATCCCGGGAACGTTTGGAGCGCATACGAGCTCCTCGACGCGAAGAGAGCGAAGGGGCGATTAATGGAAAAGGAGTAGCAATGAACAAAATCTTCAAAAATTGTTCAGTTTATCCTTTACTCTCGAATGTTGCATATAAATAGTCAAGACAAATTTTTGCAAGCTGACATTTTTTGAACTCGTTACAAAATGAAACAAACCATTTGAAGAACCAAACGTAGCGATTAGTTTGCCATGCTCATCGAATTTCATCACACGACTGTTGCAGTAGCCATCGGCGACAAAGAAATGCCCGTTGCTGGCCACAGCAACGTCGGTCGGCTTGCAGAAGTGCTTGTTGTCAGAGCCTGGCTTCAACCGCTCACCAAGTTTCAGCAGTAATTTAAAATTCTTATCGTACTTCAATACCTGAAAAGTTCGGTGACGCTTCTACAAAGGACACTTGATTTTATTAGTGAAGAAAAAAATCAGTAATTGCTCTAAACTGCAAATTTATTATTAAATCACCGGCCGAAATTCTATTAAACTGTGCTCCAAAATGTTTTCCCGTGCATCAAAAGTGTCCTTACAAAAAATCATTGGCAACGCACACCAGGCGGGTTCGTGCGATCATGCGCTTTTGCAGTATTTTGTGCTGTAATGAGATCGCTCAAAAACCCAGTAGCTAGAAATGTGTGACATACTGTTCCTTGAAGCTCGATAAGTTAACTGTCTATGCTGTAGTTGGACAGGAACATCCACTTAAAATTTTAGCCTCCCAACTTCCTGAATCCCGAGTTAGAAATTTTCCGCCGAAAATTTTCACGGAGCCGTACGTGAGAACCACGCATGCCTGAGGGCTGAATTTGCTAGCTTTAAGTTGTGCGTGGGCTGGGAATATCCCCTTAAAATTTCAGCCTCCCAGCTTCCCTGGCTTTTTAATAAGCGATTTTCAGGCCAGAAACCCTGATGGGCCGGGCGCAGGAACCACGCATATCTGGGGCTGAATTTGAAATCACTGAGCTCGAGTTGGACGGGGGACATAACCCTACAATTTCAGCCTTCTAGCTTTTCTGGTTTCCGAGTTAGCGATTTTCCCGCCAAAGCTTTTACTTTTCGTACGCGGGGCCCAGACTTGTGTGAGAGTTGGTGTCGCTGTCCTGGAGTGGCACTTGGCCGGGGAACCCGTAAGCAAAATTTTGCCACCGAAGCTTGCTTGAATGTAGAGTTGAAACACCCGGACAGACGTACATGCACACACGCGCACACCAGGGTCATCACAATATGCGTTTTTTGCAGCTATGCAATGCGAAGAACGCATATTGACGAGAGGCTGTCTGTGTGTGTGTGTTTGCGTGTGTGTCTGTGGCAAAAGCTACAGGGCCGAAACTTTGGGGATTTAATGTACATGCACGTACGGGCCCCCATCGCCAGAATTGGCGATCTTTCCCGCGTGGTACCCACGTAAAGGCCCGCCAAAGTTTTTTACGGATAAGCTGCTAACTCGAGAACCAGAAAAGCTAGAGAACTGAAATTTTATGGGAATGTTCCCAGTTCAAGTGTGCACTAATGAGCCCAAATCCAACCCCTGCGTAATCGTGGTACCTGCGTACGGGCCCTCAAAGTTTTTCCCGCGTAAATTCATAACTCGGGGTTCTGAGATGCTAGAAAGCTGAAATTTTATGGGAATG